GGCCTCAGCATGGCTGGAGAAGCGGTGCGTCGGTGCGCACCCGGGATCTGAACCCAGGCCGCCAGTAGCGGAGCACGCGCACTTAACCGCTAAGCCCCGGGGCCGGCCCTACTGCTGAGTTTTGAGCGTTGCTTAGATATTTGTAGATACTGGTCTTTTGTTGGATATGTGGTTTGCAAATATTTTCTTCCTGTTTGCAGCTTGCCTTTTCATCCTCTCTACAGGTTTTTTTGCAGAGAGAAAGTTTTTAATTTTCATGAGGTTCAATTTATCAGCTTTTTCTTTTATGGATTATACTTGACAGTCTGTGAACTCTTTGCTTAGTCCTCAATCCTAAATTTTTTTCTTTTGTTTTTTTCCTAAAGGTTTTATATTTTACATTTCTCATATAAGTTTGTGATCCATTGTGAGTTAACTTTGTAAGGTGTGAGATTGAGGTTGAGGTTCTTTTTTTCTTGGCCTATAGATATCCAATTCCAGCAGCACCAGTTTTTGAATGGCTATCTTTCCTCCACTGAATTGCTTTTGTACCTTAATCAAAAATCAATTAGGCATATATGTGTAGGTCTACTTCTGGGTTCTCTATTGTGTTCCACTGATCTATGTTTCTATCCCCCTGCCAAACCACAACATCGTGATTACTGTTGTCCTACAGTAAGCCTTACCATCAGGTAGAATGATTCCTCCTACTTTATTCTTTTTTTCCAAATTGTTTTAGCTATTCTAAGTTCTGTGCCTTTCCATGCTAATTTTAGAATAACTTTGTTTATGTTTCCAAAAAACTTGCTGGGATTTTTTTTTTTTTTGGTGAGGAAGATTGGCCCTGAGCTAACATCTGTTGCCAATCTTCCTCTTTTTGCTGAGGAAGATTGGCTCTGAGCTAACACGTGTGCCCATCTTCCTCTATTTTGTAATTGGGATGCCACCACAGCATGGCTTGATGAGCGGTGAGTCGGTTCACACCTGGGATTCAAACCTGCAAACTCTGAGCCGCCGAAGCAGAGTGCGTGCACTTAACCACTACGCCACCAGCCCAGCCCGTTGCTGGGATTTTGATAGGAATTGTATTAAACCTACAGATCAACTTGAGAAGAATTGACATCTTTAGTATGTTGAGTCTTCTCGTTCATGAGCATTGTATGTCTGTATGTATTTATTAAGGTCTTCTTTGGTTTCTTTTATCATCATTTTGTAATTTTCAGGATACAGATTCTGTACATTTTTTAGAATAAGTTTTTACCTAGGTATTTCATTTTCTTTGGAGATGTTGTAAATGTTATTATGTTTTTTAATTTTAGTTTACACATTTTCATTGTTAGTATATAGAAATGAGCTTGATTTTTGAGTGTTGATCTTGCATCCTGTGACCTTGCTGAGCTCACTTATTAGTTTTAGGAATCTTTTTTTGGCAATTCTTTGGGATTTTCTATATAGCTGTTTTTCTTGTCTTATGCCATCTGCAAATAGGGACTGTTTTATTTTTTCCTGTCCAATCTCAATGCCTTTTATTCCTTTTTCTTTCATTGTTGCAATGACTAGAACTTCCAGTGTTATGTTGAATAAGAGTGGGGAAAACAAACATCTCTGTCTTCTTTCTGATCTTAGGGGGAAAGCATTCAGTCTTTCATCATTTAGTATGATGTTAACTGTAGGTTTTTGATAGATGATCTTTATTAAGTTGAAGTAGTTTCCCTCTATTCCTAACTTGCTGAGAGTTTTTATCATTAATGGGTATTGGATTTTGGCAAATTATTTTTCTATGTCAATGATCACATGGTTTTTCTTCTTTACCCTGTTGATATGATGGTTTATATTGATTGATTTTTCAATGTTGAACTAGGCTTGCATACCTGGGATAAATCCCACTATGTCATGGTGTATAATTCTTTGAATACATTATTGATTTGGTTTGCAAATGTTTGATTAAGAATTTTTGTGTCCAAGTTCATGAAAGATATAGATCTGTATTTTTATTTTTTGTACTGTCTCTGTCTGGTTTTGGTATCAGGACATACTAGCCTCATAAAATGAGTAAGGATTTCCTCCTCTTCTATTTTATGGATAAGTATATGAAAAACTAATATTAATTCTTTAAATATTTGGTAAAAATTTCAAGTAAAATCGTCTGGACTTGTAGATTCCTTTTTGGGAGATTTTTAATTGCAAATTCAATTTCTTTGATGGTTATAGGACTATTTAGATTATATCATCTAGGTTGAGTTATAGTATTTGTAATTTTGGAGAAATTGGTCCATTTCTTCTAAGTTATCAAATTTATGAGGGTAAAGTGGTTTGTAGTATTCCTTATTATCCTTTTAATGGCTGCTGGATCTGTAGTGATATCCTGTTTCATTCCTAATATTGATGATTTGCATCATCTCTCTTTTTTTTTTTTTTAAATTATTTATTTATTTATTTCCCCCAAAGCCCAGTAGACAGCTGTATGTCATAGTTGCACATCCTTCTACTTGCTGTATGTGGGACACGGCCTCAGCATGGCCGGAGAAGCGGTGCGTCGGTGCGCGCCCGGGATCCGTACCCGGGCCGCCAGCAGCGGAGCGCGCACACTTAACCGCTAAGCCACAGGGCCGGCCCTGCATCATCTCTTTTTATTTTTGTAAGTTTTTGTAGAGGTTTATTAGCTTTATTAATCTTTTTGAGGCACCAGCTTTTTGCTTCATTGATTTCCTATTCTTTTCATATTTTAAGTTTCATTGATTTCTGCTCTGTATTATTTCTTTTTTGCTTATTTTGGATTTATTTTACTTTTCTTAGTTTTTGTGTAGAAACTTAGATTATAGATTTGAGACCTCTCCTCTTTTCTTTCTTTCTTTTATTTGTGAGGAAGATTAGCCCTGAGCTAACATCTGTTGCCAATCCTCCTCTTTTTCCTGAGGAAGACTGGCCCTGGGCTAACATCTGTGCCCATCTTCCTCTACTTTATATCTGGACGCTGCCACAGCGTGGCTTGATAAGCGGTGTTTAGGTCCGTGCCCGGGATGCGAACCTGTGAACCCTGGGCCACCAAAGTGGAGTGCATGAACTTAACCACTACACCACCAGGCTGGCCCCTCTCCTCTTTTCTAATGTAAGCATTTAGTGCTATAAATTTCACTTTCAGTACTGCTTTAGTTGCATCCCATATATTTTGATGTGTTGTATTTTCATTAAGTCCTATGTATTTTATTATTTTCTTGGAAACTTGTCTCTTTGATACATGTATTATTTAGAAGTGTGCTGTTTGATTTCCAAGTGTTTAAAGATTTTCTTCTTGTCTTTCTATTATTGATTTCTAGTTTGATTCCATTATGGTCAGAAAATATACTCTATATGATTTCATTTCTTTTAAATTTGTTGAGATTTTTTTCTCTGGCCCAGGATGTGGTCTGTCTTGGTGAATGATTCACAGGCATTTGAAAAAAATATGTATTCTGCTTTTATTGGGTGGAATGTTCTATAATGAGAATCCTCTTTGTTGATCGTGTTGTTCAGGTCTCCTATATCCTTGCTGATTTTTGGTCTGGTTGTTCCATCAGCTGCTGAGAGGGGAGTGTTGAGGTCTTCAACTATAATTATGGATTTGATTATTTCTCCTTTCAGCTCTTTCAGTTTTTGCTTCATGTATTTTGAGACTCTGTTGTTTGGTATGTTGAGGGTCATTACGTCTTCCTGGGGTTGATCCTTTCATTCTTGTTTGTCTTTAGTAACTTTCTTTGCTTTGAAGTCTACTTTGTCTGATATAAATATAGCCACTCTGCTTTTTGTTTGGATTAATATTTTCATGGTATATATTTTCCCATCTTTTTAACTTTCAATCTACCTATATCATTGAATTTGTAGAGTTTCTTGTAAACAGCATATAGTTGGGTCTTTTTTTAAATCCACTTTATCAATTGCTGCTATATAATTGATATGGTTAGGTTATTTGCATTTACAGTAATTATTAATTGTCTGCCATTTTATTATTTTTCTCTTTGTTTCCTCTGTTTCTCATTCCTCTGTTTCTCTTTCTTGCCTTCCTGTGGGTTACCTGAACATTCTCTAGTATTCCATCTTGATTTATGTTTTTGAGTATATTGCTTTTTGTATAGTTTTCCTAGCGGTCACTCTGGGTGTTACTATACGTATGTAACTTACCACAGTCTCCTGGTATCAACATTTTACCACTGAGAACGAAGTGTGGAAACTTTAATTCCACTTAGGTTCCTTTGCCCTCCTCACTTTTAACTATCACTGTCTCAGGTGTCAGATGGATGTTTCCATTTTTCGTTTCAGTCATCACGTATGATTTACACAACTCATGATAGTATTGTATTTACCCATATTTCTGCTCTTTCTGTTCTTTATTCCTTTTTATTGTTGAATAGTATTCTACGGTATCGGATTTACCACCGTTTAACTATTCACCTGTTGCAGGACATCTGGTTGTTTACAGTTTTTGGCTATCAGGAATAAAGCTGCTAAGAACACACATGTGCAGTTTTTTGTGTCATTACGAGCTTTTATTTCTCTGGGATAAATGCCCAAGAGTGAAATTGCTGTGGTTATAGCATGTTTAGTTTTATAAGAAACTGCCAAACTGTTTTCTAGTGTGGCTGTTCCATTTTACATCTCCCCCAGCAATGTATACATGATCGAGTTTCTCTGCATGCATACTTCTGCTCTTTCTGTTGTTCTTTCTTCCTTCTTGATCTTTTAAGATTTCTTGTGTCATCATAACCTTTCTGTTTTAAGATGTTCCTCTAGCCATACTTTAAGAGTAGTTCTGCTAGCGACAAATACTTTTGGTTTTCTTTTCTCTGAGAATGTATTTATTTCCCCTTTAGACTTGAAGGATAGTTTGCTGAATATGGAGTTTATAGTTGAGAATTCTTTTCTTTCAGCACTTTTACCTATAGAAGTATTGGTAAAAGTAGACAACAACGTGGAAAACAATACTGCAACAATGAATTTGCCAATTGTATTGGAAAATGACAATAGCCAAGATTCTTCCTCATCTGCTCCCTGCCTCCCTTCCAGTTTGGGTGAGTGTGAAATGACACATATTATAAGTGGCACTATTTAGCCTATATTCCTCAACATTTTTGATGCAAGCTATCGGAAGCTTTTTGTTTCCTATTTTGAGGGCTGGTTTTAGGTGTTATTAATAACGATGACTAATAGTTATGGAGTATGTATTATGTGCCAGGTACTGTGCTAATCAACTGACATGCCTCTTCTCCACTAATACTCACAATGACCCCATGATGTAGGTACTTTTATTACCCCCATTCCCAAAGTCACAGAGCTGGTGAGTGGCAATTCTGGTACTGTAACCCAGTTCTCTCTGACTTTAAAGATCATGTTTGTTAACAGTCTCCTGTATTGCTTGCCTAGCCACAATGGCAGAGATGAGGAGACCCCAGGTTCCATGGCCTCTAAGGGCTCACCTTCCTAATATTTTATAGTTTCTTTGTGTCTCTATTTCTAAGTAGCTAATCTCTTATTAATATCCTAGCACAAGGCTCAGCAAGCTTTCTGTAAAGGGCTAGACAGTAACTATTTTAGGCTTTGTGGGCCTTCTGGTGTCTGTCACAGCTATTCAACTCTGCCGCTGTAGCGTGAAAGCAGCCACAGATGTAGGTAAGTGAATGAGCGTGGCTGTGTTCCAGTACAACTTTATCTACAAAAGCCGGTGGTGAGATTGGCCTGTGGACTGTAGTTTGCTGACTCCTGTCCTGGAGGAAACCCTTTTCCTTGAAATTACTTTGTTACCCAAACTAGGAGAAACTTTAAAAATTGTGCTCCTTGTACTAAATGGGTGCTGTGATATGCTGTTGTTAAAAGTATAAATTGGTGAAAACTTTCTGAAGGGTAATTTGTATAAAAATCCATAAAAGTATTTATACCAGTAGACTCAGTAATCCTACTTCTATCAGAAGATATAATTTCAGTGGGCTGGCCCCGTGGCCTAGTGGTTAAGTTCGGTGTGTTCCGCTTCAGTGGCTTGGGTTCGAGGGTTCAGATCTCAGGGGTGGACCTACACCACTCGTCAGCCATGCTGTGGCGGTGACCCACATACAAAATAGAGGAAGATTGGCACAGATGTTAGCTCAAGGTTAATCTTCCTCAAGCGAAAAATGAGGAAGACTGGCAATAGATGTTAGCTCAGGGTGAATCTTCCTCAGTGAAAAAAAAGAAAAAAGAAGATATAATTAAAAAAGAGATACGTACTAAAATTTTGGTACAGAAATGTTCTTTACAGAATCATGAAAAATTGGAAACAGCCAAATAAGCAAACACAGGGAATTAGTTAAGTGACTCCTGGTATATCCACAGTATGTGAGGCCATAATGCATGCTGGTTAACAGCGTGGGCTCCTGAGTCAGACTGCCTGGGTTCAAATCCCAGCTCTGTCTTACTAACCATGTGACCTTCAGCCACTTCTATCACCTAAATATTAGTTTTTTCATCTGTGAAGTGACAAAAATTATAGTACCTACTTCATAGAATTGTGAGGATCAAATGGGAGAATTCATTTAAAGCTCTTAACACAATGCCCAGAACATAAGTGCAATGTAGATGTCACCTGTCAGGAAAATCATGATGACAGGGAGGCAGACATGAAAGAAAACAAGAGAAAATGGGGAAATGCTCAAAATGTAATGTTAACTGAAAAAGCAGGATTCAAACTATATATAAAGTATGATTTCAATTTTGCGTTTAAGAAAAGAAATAGAAAAAAGAAGGGAAGACATTAGCAGATTAATGGTTCAGAGCACTTGGTTATAAATAGACAGACTTAAAAAGATTTTAAAACTGGCTCTGTAACTAGCAGTGTAATCTTGTTCAAATAACTTATCTTCTCTGGGCCTCAGTTTCCTCATCTGCTAAGTGCGAATAAGTTGTTAGGATGATGAAACTGAGCTTATAGATGTAAAATATTTAGCACAGTGCCTGATATCTGGTAGATAGTAAATGCTAGCTATTTTAAAATTTTCTTAATTATTCCTACCCATACTTTCCAAGTTGTATTCAGGGAACATGTACTCACTCAGTAATATAGCTCTGAGTGCACTTTTAGAGTGTAAAAGGGAGCAGTGGGGTCTCAGAGCAACATGTTTACATAGGCACCTGCAGCCTAAGAATTAAATTTATTCAAGACAATGAACAGATTGTTTCAAGTATAGCAAATTCAAGACGAGCAAAAGTGAAAAATGCTAACAGTTATGCAGATGGCATCAGAGAGACTCATTTAAGGAAAAGAAGAGAGAAGTGTAGAAAAAATTCACCCAAGTAGAAATTTGTGAATTAGAAATCAATTAGTTTAATTTTCTTAGGTACTTTCATGAAGTAAATCAGGATTCTACTTTTTCCCTGTATTTTTAAAGGATATCTTGGTGATCCAAAGAGAAATGTCAGAATACTTGATACTCATTTGACTATTGCAAAAAAGAAGATCAAACCTAAGCATGCAGCCCGCTACTTGGTTCGCATTTTGTTCTCCAAGGAAGTTCTGATTCGCAGCTCTGTAGGTGTCACTTCCCAAGGCCGCCAACCCCTAGATCCAAACAAAATAGCTGCAATGAGAGGTATGTAAAGTCATTATGGAATCTTGTTTCATCATCATTTGGTCATCTGTTAATGTTAATGGCAGTTGAAGAAGTAGTGATGAAGTCTGTGTAAACCTTAGAACTGTTCACTTTACCTGTCTGACCTAGATTTTACAATTGAATAGTATGTAATGGATAACAACTTCTAAAGAATAAAACTTGTCTATAGATTGGTGGAATAAGACAAACTCTATTGATTACAGTTACTTATGGTTAGTACTAAGTCAATTCTTCAGTGCTGAAACTTGGTACTAAGAAATAAAGAAAAAGCCAAAAAAAAATGTGGAAGAATAAAACACATTTCAATGCTAGTAACTGACAACACAGAACTAGAATCTCTTGATTAATCCACTTTAGCCTCCTGCCTTCCTGCCTTCCAGAAATGTGTATGGAGGTCCTAGAACTCATAGGCGCTGAGGATACAACAATGAATCAGTGTTTCTGCCTGCAAGGAGATCATAGTCTAGAAAGGGGTGCATCGAGGGAAACAGATCAATTCCAATCCAGCGTGGGAGTGTGGAGGATCAGAGAGCAGAGCAACTACTTTGAGGGCATTCAGGAAGGCTCTCTAAGGATAAGACATTTGAGCTAGATTTGGAAGGATTCCTTAGCTAGGTGAAGAAAAGAGGAAGGGTATTCTAGGCAGAGGGAATAGCTTACGGGGAAGATAGACATGTAATGTGCACAGATAAATAGACCACGGTGTAATAATGTTTGCAATAATACTATTTTCTCTTTGCAGGTTTCCTTTTATTTTTAGTTGTAACTTATCTATAGGGTTATTAAATGGCATTAGAACCCTGAAATAGTTGACTTTTTGTTACTTGCCTTTTTTTTTTTTAGCACCAAAACCTCGTGACTGGCTCCCTAGGTCAGTGTTTTAGCAGAAATGAGATATTCAGCAAAGCATCCTCTTTAGGTGGAATTTCTAAACTCTCAGAGAGAGAGAAAAGAAAGACAATTAAAAATAGAAAATTTCAGTATTTTAAATAAAAAATTTCTCATCAGTTTCTTAATTTTTTTTTCTATTTCATGAATGCTTTCTGCTATTTGTAGAATATCTGGCAACTATTTTTCCCAACCATGATTTGCGTGAATGTGGAAAAGACTGGAAAATCTGTGTTTCCGATATCCATTCTCTGATCCGCTATTTGTGTTTTGAAGCCAGAAAAATGACAGTAAGTTATTTTTAATCTAGATATAGTCACTGCTGTATAAGTGCATACTATAGACAACTCCAGAAGTGACAGCATGGCACACAGGATCTTCAGGCTATGTGCTTAAATCTAGTTTATTTAATTTAGGGGCAGGGTATGTTCTCTCAAAAGCATACTGCCTGTTTATTTCACTCTGATATTTATGTTCCATAAAAATTGCCCTAAGATAAATCAATTATAGTGTAATAATTAGTATATTTGAAGCCAAGGGCTAGACTAGAAAAAGGTTTCAGCTACAAAGATATTTGGCAAGTCTTTTTCAGTATCCCACTGGGTAACACAGAAAAGAGCAGCCTGGCGCTGCTTAGCTGTTCTAGTGGCAGTTAAGGATGGCACAGGAGAAAAGGAAGGCACTTTATTACTTGTTCACTTTCAGTGATGGCAGAACCTGGTGAAAATAATGCATAGCATGAGGTTTAGCTATCAGAGATATTTTATACTCTGTATAGTTACACGGTGAACGGGACTCTGGCTTCCCTCTCCTCCGTTCTGTCTTCGAAGTGCATTAGAGATTTTTTAACTCGAATGGGCCAACAGGGAAGACTGTCATGTCTATTGCCTTCTCCTGACGAAACATTAACTTGACGACAATTCCTAATTTCCATTCACCTCTCTAAAAACCCCATTTTATTCTCACCATGTCTAGTCACTCCTGGGTCTCCAGAGTAAGTTTACGGAAACTATTTGCCAAGAATATTTGTAGCCGAGCTTATGTTTTCTTGGTGAATGGCTGGATTTCAGTGGCAGCTCAAGCACCATCTGTCTGAGACCAAATCTGCTTGTTTTTCACATTCTCTTTTATATCCTACAAAAATTGCACCCTAAACATTTGAATGTAAAATTATGATACTGCCTGGAAAATGGTAATTTGAATATTTGCTTAAGCGTCAGAAGAGAAGCAGCATCTGCTGAGTGCCTGCTATGTAGTTGACTAGGAGAGGGACAGGTCCTCACCACCAGAGTGGGTCTGCAGACCAGCAGCAGCAGCAGTGCTGGAAAGCTTGTGAGAAATGCAGAGTCTTGAGTTCCACACCAGACTCACTGAGGCAGAATGTGTAGTTTAGCAAGACCCCCAGGTGATGTGTGTGTACATTGAACTTTGAGAAGCCTGGACCTAGAGCAGTGGTTGTCGACCCTCATTATCTATTAGAATCACGCGAGACACTTTGAAAAAAGTTATTGATGCCTGAGCTCTCCCACTCCCTCCACCAGAGATTCCGGTTGAATTTGCTGACAGTGGGGCCCAAGCACAGCTTTAAAAAAAAACGATCTCTAGGGTGATTCAAATGTTCAAATGTGCAGCCAGATTTGAAAGTCACCGGGGAAAGAGAAAACAAACAAAAACATTAAAAAACAAACAAACAAAAAGTTGTCGTCTTCAAGAAACTCATTTATTCGTTTATTCATGAAATGTTTATTAAGCCCTTCTTTTGTGCCAGCAATTATCACTCAGTTCATTAGACAGAGCTTCCAGGGCCCCAAGAAGCAGCGAGTCATGGCAGCTTGAGGAAGATCCACACCTGTCCTTCCTTTGTGATGGTACACAATATTCTCTGGCTGCAGCCCACCTTATTAGAGACAGTTGCTTCCCCACCAACCTGGGGCGCCCTGGTAGATGATGGAGCATGTCCATGTTTCTCACTACGGGACTTTGTTTATAGATACACTTTTTATTTCAGCGGACTACCAATACATCACAATCTGCAGATGCAAATAATAAAAGGGATGGCGAGGGAAGTGAAAGCGGTTGCCAGTTATCTCAGCAAACAGCTGCCTCAGAAACAAGAGAAAATGGAAATCCTCAGCAGAACAACAGTGCTCTCCCTGAAGGAATGAGAGCACCTTCCACTGATAATTCTGCGCCATCTGATGAAACACTGGGTGAGTTTTAAAATAAGTTCTCTTGATGATAAATGTTGAATCCAGGTGATAAATTTATGGGGCTCATTGTCCTATTCTCTCTACTTTTATGTATGTTTGAAATTTTTCATAATAAATCTAAACAACTCGATCTCTTAGATTAATGAGTTAATGAAATATAGATACCTAGTTCTGAAACTGATAGTTTTTAACATTAAGCTAAATCTGTATTTTTCCTTCGGAGAGCAGTTCTCGGCTGACTCCTTCAGCCAGCGTGACCTCTCGGGTTAGGCACCTTGCTCCGCAGGTAAAGGAGGAGCAGCTACAGCTGGATGAGCCAGAAGCAGTTCAGGGGTGTTGCTCTCTGTGTGCCGGGCACATTGCAGGTGCTTCATAAAGAGTTTTTGCCTGAATTAATGACTCCCATTCCTCAGAATGCTAGCTGTCTGCTGGAGGCACATCCTGCTTCATTAGTGTCAAGTGGCAGTGGGTTCCATAGGTGACTGTGCCACCTGCCGCTCATGCTTCCCAATGCCTCTTCCCCAGGATACTGGGGTTTAGTGGCACCTGAGGTAGCAAAACTATTTTCCGTCTCTCCCCTGCCCCCATGTCAACCCTAAGTAGAATACTACCTGTGAACCTGTTCAAGAGAACTTATTTAAATGATATATCTTTATAGTTATATGATACAATGATATATGATATATGGTTTAAATGATATATCTTTATATGTTTTGTCCTTTATAAAAGTGATGTAACTGCTATGTTTGTTCAGGTTGTACACCATAGAAACAGGCTCTGGCAAAATTAAACCACCACAACAAAAATCATTGGACGAATAGCTCCTAGATTTAAAGAAGCAAAGAACGAACGGAGCCACAGGCAGGGGCCAGAGTGGCCTCAAGACTGTGGCATCTGGAGTCCATCAAGGTCTCTGGGGCTCCATATCTGCATTCTCCATGAGAGCTAGGTTCTAGTTTTCTCTTGTCACTGTTTAGATTCCCAGGAGAAAGAATCTGATTTGGGGAGCTTGGGACACAGGTGTCTGTCCCTGACTCAGCTAGAACAGGGGACAGGGCAACTAAGACGATTGTGAGCCAGGAAGCCACCTCAGTTTATGTGTAGTCTATTAGACCATTTTATTTAAAAAATTGGAAAATACTTAGGAGGGAAGAAAAGCTCCCACGGTCAAGATACCTTAAAAAACTATTGTGGACATTTTAATTTTTTTCCAATTTTTTTTCTTAAAAATCTTTTAAAACATTGTGCTCTCTACATAATTACTCTTCTTTTTTAACATAATATGTGTGTTTTTCCTCAAGACTCTCCAATCTTCATAGTCATTGCTTTAAACAGATATATAACATTCCATTCAGTAAGTGGACCTAATTTATTTAACTATGTCCCTCTTTTTGTTGTTATTTTAAAAAAAATTTTGAGGATTTTTGGAGGGAATTATCAATCATACAAATCATGCTGCCAAAAAAAAATCTTTATTCATATAGCTTTTTACATATTTTGGATTCTTTTCTTAAGTTAGGTTCTCAGAATTCAAATTACCAAGTTAAAGGGTATTAACCTTTTTTCTGACCCTTGCTAAATATTGCTAGGTTAATCTTCCAGAGTTAAGTCTTTTGACCCACTGAATGAATTTTTAAATAATTTAATCTCTCTTGCTAAATGTTGGACCTGGAGGATTCAGCAATTTGTACTGTCACTCATGAAATGATGGATGTTCCAAGATGAAAAATGTGCTTATTGACTTGTGAGAATCATATCGTTTTTCTCTAATATATTTTCTTCAACAAATAATTCTTTATTATATGTAAAATATATTTTTGAAGTACAGTTTGGTTAATTTGAATCACTATGGACTGAAGAGAGATGGTGATGATTAAGCTGTAGAGTTGAGAAATGAAAACAGGCTTAACATTTATTTTTCAGTTCAGATAAGTTATCTAAAATATGATATCTAAGATGAGCTTGTTGATTTTTATATGATTAGTTTAATACCGAATAGAAAATCTACATTTTTAAAATTATAAATATTTCGGTAAGAATCATGATGCTTATTTTTGAAAATAGCCTTTTTCGTAAGTAGGAAAACAATGCATTAAAATTACTTAGAATGTGTTGCTAAATGTAGTGTTAAAACTGCTTATGTCCTGTAAGATAGAAGAACACAGAATCGTCCTCGTGAATGATCCGAGCCCACGTCATCACATCAGCAGTGATTCCTGCCTCATTTCTCATGCCGTCTCAGGACACCTTAAAAACTTCAGGCTTTAATTTTTTTAACCTCTCAAATTCTTGAGCCTAAAAATTCAGAAAAATCAACTTTTCTATTACAGCCTTTTAGAAACCTTAAACCTAACATCTGCCACGAAAATTGACATCTTCTTTCTCTTTTGCTTCTAGGATATCTTGGAAATCCATGTAGAAATATACAGATGCCACGTTCGGTTCTGAATATGGCGAAGGAGAAGTCTCGCCCAGAGCTGTCAGCCAGATACCTTATTCGCAGCCTGTTCACGGACGATGTCCTGATCAAAAGTAACGTGTACGGCAGTCAGTCGCGGGGCATCTGTGCCCTGAACTCTAATAGGATCAACGCTCTCCGAGGTTTGTGACATGTCGAGTATGTGAGAATAAATAAAAGCAAACTGTGTTAGAGAGGGGCAGAAAGAGAAATCCATTCAGTGTGTGTGTGTTTTGAGGGGAAATGGAGCCCTTTCTAATTCCCTTTTTAGGGTCTAACAAGGAGCAGTTTTGAGAATTGTGGTTCTTTTTGCGTCTGGGTTCTCAGGGCTAATTGCTCTGTCTTGAATGGCATTATTAGAACAGGAAAGGCATTACTGACTGTGGCTCCCTGGTATGGACGGCAAGGCGTAGGAAAACTCAAATACCTTCTTTTACTGAGGATCAAGGTCAAAGCTGCGGGGCTTTCTCAGTCTGCAAAAGTGTCAACAATAGCACAGCAGGGTAATTTGCTAGTCTTTTCTCGTGCACACGAGCATAGTGTAGTCTTTATCTATGACATAACTAGATGAAGTAACAAAGTTTCTGATAGCAATTCTGTGAAATCTCAAATTTGGACAAAGCAGGAAGCAGAATATTTCTTACTCGTGTCACTGGTACCCATCAAAGACGTAGTTCTGAGCCCCAGACTGGTCTCAGTTGGTTCCTCTTCAGTTCCTCCCTCATATCACATGTTTTGTATCCAACAAACTTGAACAACACTTGTGTTTCAGACTGAACGAAAGAAACCTGGCTTATGGCACTTTTTGTAAGCATTCGCTATTATCTAATGCAATTGTTTTCAAACTTTTTTTTTTATTTTACTGCAACCCATAGTAACAAATACATTTTACACTGTGACTCAGTACGCATGTGTGTGATTTTGAAAAAACTGAAGCAAAAGTTTCACAAACAATACTTACTCTTTCTATGAGAATTACATTTCAATGTTTTCTAATCTGTTACATTTTTAGAAAAGTGCTGCTGTCACTGATTTCTTGACCTAATAATTGGTCACAATTTGCAATTTGAACATCACTGAGCTAACTCACTAGGCAAAAAATCCAAAACCCAATTCCTCTTATCTTATGGTAAAAAAAGAACACAGAGTTTGTAACCAATCCCGAAATGAAGGTGTTTATTGAAGAAATAGTGTCTTTCTAATTAAAAAAAATTTTTTTAAGTGAGGGGGAAAAGGTGACTTTTATAGTTCTTTAATATCTGGAATAGATTAGTTCCTTAAAAGTGGACTAAAGATATTATTCTATGTATTTCATTTTGTTTTATCCTTTGTTGAATTATATTACAAATCAAGAAGATGTCTTTTGTAGTAAAAAATATTCAGCATGAGTTTGACATACTATCCACATAGGGCATATTTTAACAAATTTCCTATAAGACTCAGAGTTCTACTCCTTTGTAGAAGGGCAGCTATGTGAGTTATTTCAGCAGAGAGAATATAGTAGAATCATCGTTGTCCTGGGGGCAGAGCCAGGCCCAAGGAGAAGCTGACAAAAAAGCATATTTTACTTTAATATAAGGACAAAATGAACTTGGAGAATGAAAGGCTGATAACCAGAGATGAGAGGAGCTTCGTGCACTAGTAGGAGGACTGGGTTTGATGGCCTTTAACATAATTTCTTTAGAAGTATCAGTTCAGTATCAACTACAGTCGTTCCTCGGTATCCCGTGGGGATTGGTTCCAGGACCCCCGCAGATACCAAAATCCGCGGATGCTCAAGTCCCTTAGTTGGCCTTCCGTATCTGCGGGTTCCTCATCCACTGATTTAACCAACGGATTGTAGTACTTGATCCATGGTTGGTTGAATCTGCAGATGCGGAGCCCGCAGATACGGAGGGCCCACTGTATTTAAAACATACAGAAATGTACAGAAAATAATACGTATAGTAATATAATAAACACCTGTCTACCCAGTACAGATATAGATATTTTGCCTTTTGTGCTTCATGTTTTTTTTTAAATGATAAAGCATTACTGATATTAATTAAAACTCCCTCCCATCATCCCTTTCCCTTCTCCCCAGAAGTAATCACCATCTTGGAGTTGGATATATCATTCCCATACATACTTTACACTTTTGCTACCTATGTTGATAGATCCATAAATAGTATGTAGTATTGTTCTGTAGTTGTTTTAATGTACATAAATGGGGATATATAGTGCATACCCTTTTGCAAACTTTTTATCCCTCAACATTGTGTTTTTGAGATCTAGTTCATGTACTTTAACTGCTGATTGGTAACTCATTGAATGAATAAACCAGTTTATTCTTCTATTCTAATATAATTTCTTACCCTAAGATTTTATTATTTGGGCAGAACTCTTCTGGAAATTAGTAGTCAAGGGTAAGTATGTCCGGTAGCCAAAGGAATTGATTTCACATAAGAACCTATTATTTGATGCTGTCTGATGAGAGTTCAGTATCGCTTGAGGGATACTGGTTTATATGGAGAATGGTTTAGAGAATGGTTTATATGGAGAAAGTTAGTAGGCTGCAGATTTGCAATCAGCGAACAACCCTTACTCCTACACCCTCCCATCTATTTCTACATATTACAGAATTGTAAAATCTTAGCAATAGGAAGTACATTACAGGTCCTCTAATACAACTTCTCACCCAGAGCAGGAATTCCCATCTCAGCTTTGACATATAGTCTCCTCCCCTTGGCTTGAACTCTTCTGTTGATGGCAGTCCATTACATTTTACAAGGGCTTTAATTTGTGAGATAGTTCTTCCTCCAAGTGACTCAAAATTTACCTCCCTGCAAGTAACGCGCATTTCTCCTACTTATCCTTCCAGAGCTAAAGAGGGTAGATCCAATCACTTTGTACATGGTAGGCCGCCAAGTATTTAAAGGCAGTTATTACTTCCTATTGGAGCATTAGGAGATAATAAATCCACCCTCTCCCCCCACTTTCAAGTTCAGACCCAAGTGAGAGACAGCCACTAGGATCTGGCAGGTGGAGATTAAAATATTAGCTTTATTTTTGGATCGTACATGCCCAGTTCTTCCAAACTTTCAATTTAGAGATGCCTCTACATGGAAGCATGAGGATTGGAGAATAAGTGTTATTCCCAACTTTTCCCCACTAAGTCTTACCCTTTTCCAGTTAAATATCTCCATTTCCTTCAGTAATTCCTCATATAAATATTTTCCTAATCTTTCATGATCTGATTCAGTGACTAACTTCAGATGTGCTCAAGTTAACTCAGAATACAATAGTACTATTACCTATTAGTCTGTTAATGCAGCCTAAAATGGCACTTGCCATTTTAATTTTTTTAATTTTTTTGATAAATAAACTGTCTCTGAAAAATCATTCCTGCACAAGAGGTCATTCTTTCACTTTATTTTTTTATATGTGTATACATGTTGCAACGTGTATTCATTTTATTTATTTATTTTCTTACCTTTTGACCACCTTCACCCATTTCTCCCTCCCCTCACCCCTGCCTCTCACAACCACTAATCTGTTCTCTGTATCTATGAGCTTGCTTTTTGCATGTTTGTTTTTTTAGATTCCACGTATAAGTGAGATCATATGGTATTTGTCCTTCTCTGTCTGACATTTCACTTAGCATAACGCCCTCAAGCTCCATCCCTGTTGTTGCAAATGGCAAGATTTCGTTCTTTTTTATGGCTGAATAAAATTTTTTGTGAATATATACCACAATTTCTTTATCCATTCATCCATCGATGGACACTTAGGTTGCTTCCATATCTCAGCTATTGTAAATAATGCTGCAATGAACTTGGGGGTGCAGATATCTTTTCGAGTTAATGTTTTTGTTTTCTTCCAATAAACACCCAGAAGTGGAATTGCTGGATCATATGGTAGTTCTATTTTTAATTTTTTGAGGAACCTCCATACTGTTTTCCATAGTGGCTGCACTAATTTACATTCCCACCAACAATGGATAAGGATTCCCTTTTCTCCACATCACCGCCAACACTTGTTATTTCTTGTCTTTTTGATGATAGCCATTCTAATAGGTGTGAGGTGATATCTCATTGTGGTTTTGATCTGCATTTCCCTGATGATTAGTGATGTTGAGCATCTTTTCATGTACCTCTTGGCCATCTTATGTCTTCTTTGGAAAAATGTCTATTCAGATCTTCTGCCTATTTTTTAATCAGATTGTTTGATTTTTGCTGTTGAGTTGTATGAGTTCTTCATATATTTTGAACATTAGCCCCTTATCAAATAGATGATTTGCAAATATTATCTCCCATTCAGTAGGTTGCCTTTTCATTTTGTTGATGGTTTCCTTTGCTGTGCAGAAGCTTTTTAGTTTGATGTAGTCCCACTTGTTTGTTTTTACTTTTGTTACTCATGCTTTTGGTGTCAGATTCAAAAAATTGTTGCCAAGACCTATGTCAATGTTAATGCAGCCTAAATGGCACTTGCCACTTTTAAATTTATGGTCAACTAAGACCCCTAGATCTGTTTTTTCTGTATATGGACATTTGTCCAGTACTTATATTGTTAGTGTTTAGGCTGTTCCTATTTATACTGTTAGTATTTTTTTAATGCAAGTGTAGGATTTTATATTTATTCCTCCTGCATTTTATCCTGTTAGTATAGAGCAGTATTCCCCAAACTATATTTCTTAAAGACAGCGGAATGTTAATAGGTGCTTCATGAATGATGTGCATTCTAGTCAAATGGCTAGGAAAGATCTTGATCTGGCACCCCAAGGGCCTCAGTCCGTAGATCTGTTTCACTTGACTCAGTTTTAAAACATGTTTTGAATGCCTTTAGCTGTCAGGCCCGCCCAGATCACCACAGTCCTGATTTTCTGTTTTCTAATGCGTTGCTACCTTCCTCATTTGTGAGTCCTCTCAACGCATCTGCATCTGTCACCTTTGAATCAGCACATCTCTTTACTGTGGGAGTTGCAGTGGGATCTAACTCTGGAGTGTCATATTTCTCATTTGCACAACCGGAAACTTTTGCCCCAAGAAACTTCCTTTATGACTAGTGTTTCAGAGAGCGCATTTTGGGAAACACCAGCCGATGTAGGGTCCTTGTTGCAGCCTGTTGAAAGCTTTGCAGGGGCTGTATTTGTCTTACAGTCTGTTAGTTGTCCATCCCAGCTTTACTGTCATGGGCAGATGGAACAAACCTGCTTTCCATCACTTCTTTTTTGTTGATAAAAATGTTCAGCAGGCTACAGCCCAATACTGAATCCACTGACACACTACTAAAAGCCTCCTTCGAGGCTACCACTGATCTATTAATTAGTCCTTTGAGTGTGAAAGCTTTTTTTGTCACATGCCTTGCAAAAAAATTGGGATATATGTTGTGTTTATGACATTGTCCTGATTTCTCAGCCTATTAATCCTACCGAAAAACAAATGAGATTAATGTAAGCAACTAACTCTGGCCTGTAGTGATCACCAGATCCTTTTCTGAGAACTCAAAGGTACTTGGGAAGTTACCTAAAAAAGCATCCGAGGGCAGCTCTGCTCTTCTAGTTAACACCTCTCTTCCCTATCTTTCCCTTTGTCTGTCCTCCCACTTTCTCTAAGAGTGCTCCTTGAGCTAGGTTGCTCTGTCACCTTCCCTTATAGAAGTTTTCCTCCAACTGCAAGATAAAGACTCTTATTCTTTTTGTCTGAGAAAAACCAAACAGTACCAAAAAATTTAGCAGTTATAGCCTCTTACTTCTAAAAGCATGAAAGACACTGCAGCCTCTTGTGCGTTACACAGCTTTAGCACGTCTCTGATGTAATGAATAACATGCATGTTTGATGAGTTTAAGAATAAGAGAAGTTTATGTTGGGTACTAAAGGCAGCAGAGGATTTCCATTCTGGTTATATAGCAAGATCATAGGATATTGTTGCTTTATTGTGATTTAAGAATGGTGCTATTTCATATTATCATCCTTTAGATGAAAAGATTTGTTCAACTAATTTAATAACAGTTATACTCCATGTGTTTTAATTAGTTAGTCTTAATGACCCTTTCATAGACCTAGCAATAGAACTAAAGTTGAATAAATTCATTTCTCTGAGAAGTGATTTCTAAGTAATTTATGTTTTGAAACTTTACCACCAGAGTTTCTCCAAGACGTCTACCCGACTTTTGATCTGTCAGAAACTGGATTTGAGTGGAAGTTGTGTGTGACAGCTATCAACAGCTGTATCCGTAGTGTTAGACACGACTCCAGGAAGTCCGCGTCCAAATCGCAGCCGCTTCCAGCAACGACCCCTTCAGCAGAGTCCGGGCCAAGAGATCCTGACTTAGCTGACTGAAGTACTTGAATGTCAGCCAGCCTAATTTTTTTTTTTTTTACTGTTGCATCATTCTGTAAGTTTCTCAAGTTCTAATTCCAAAGTTAGTCTGTTGTAGTGGCAGTGTAGTTCCGCATTCACACCTGAAGAAACAGCCAGTGTCTTTCTCTGCCCACCTAAGAGGCGGAATTGCATTAGGAAGCTGTGTGATGTTTCATCTCAAGAGCAAAGCTGTGGGCAGTGTTCCGATAAGAGCCTCTGATTAAGGGAATGGTAGTAAACTCCTAAGGGTTGTTTTCATTGCTGTTTTAATGTAGAATGAGAATAGCACATTTAACTCTTAATGACAGATGAAATCTGAGTGCCAGTGATGCAGATATAGGTAGTGAGGTAGAGAGCCATAGTTGGATAGGCAAACCATAATGCTGAGTGTAGGAACTTATAGGCAGGAGATTCAATATTTCTCAAGTGAATCGTCACTGCAGAGCTTAGGTCTAAGCCCCACTGAGTCAGAAGGGAGTTATGGTTTACATCTGACCAAAAAGCCCATGCTGGCTTTCTTATACATCCATCAGAAGGCGATTCCTAGGGTTGACACCATATTGTTTGACTTAAGCTTTCCAGAGATGAGACCCATGTTCTTTAGATTTACTTCTGATAAGAACAGCATTTTTTAAATTACCTCCTGATAATATTTTATCACAGAAGTTTGCTAAGAGTCAACATAGAAAATCATATCAGCAGACTTTTTGGTTCCACTGAAGTAATTTAAATTTAAGAATACATCACTATGAATAAAAAGAATTTAACCACAAATAGACTCGAATATTCTTTTGGGTTTCTGAAACGTCTGGGTGAGGGTTTAATATGTTTGCTGTGTTTTTCTGATTGGTTCTACTAGTTGAAATGCATACAAATTTAAATCTTATAATGTTTAGATGAAAAAAATATTGATCAGAAATTCAATTAGAAAAAAGTGATCTTAAAGGATATTGGCAGGGTTATTGGAGAATTAAAAAATAATTCAATTTTGCTCATGAATGGGATTTTATTTCAAACTAAGCACATCATTTTAAAGTTCCTGAATGTTTCAGCCATAGAAAAAACTGTATAATTTCATTGTTTGATCATTTGTGTTCAAGAAACATTTTGTCAGTTATAATGCCATCTTTCAGCTTTCAACTTATTAAACACTCCTTAGTTACATGTGTTTTATAGCATTCTTAGTTATTGTTCAAAAGGCAAATTTTTTCTTTGTGAGAGTTCAATCTTTAGTTATGACCATGGGCTTGTGACCTGTAGCTTTGTCTTAGATAATTGACATTAATTAACTTTGGTTTTTTAATAAAGCGAAGAAGAAATTCAATAGAAAGTAATAAGTAGGTCAGTCAAACAATATAATTTGTGTGAAAGTTGACGTCTTGTTATTTTTGTTACTTGTGAGACAGTTTAAGGTGGTTTTATATGATCAACTTGTAGAATAGATACATATTTTCATATGATTTATCTTTTGAAAATTAAACTTTTAGAGGATTTCAGTGAAATATAGTATAATTAGCTTTATAAAGATAAAAGATTTAATTTTTAAGACTCTGTTCGCCAAATAAATAAATTACTGTTAATTGCCTTTAGCTTAATAAAATTATAGTTTTTCTGTGCATATCTTTATATGTTTAGGCTACACCTACAATGGTCTTAACAAGTAGATAATTCAAGCCAAAAAAATCTTCCATAGAGGGCAAAAGAGTTTTGACCAGAGTTATTCAGATTAATTCATTTAAGATAGTCCTTGGCTTCACCATTCAGTTAAAAATAATTTTACTAACTACTGGTAAAAAGTAAAATTACATATCTTCCTTGACTTATGAGGGGGTTACATCCTGATAAACCTATCGTAAGCTGAAAATATTGTTAAGTTGAAAATGCATTTATTTTATTTATTTATTTATATATTTATCTATCTATTTATTTATTTATTTTTGTGAGGAAGATCAGCCCTGAGCTAACATCCATGCTAATCCTCCTCTTTTTCCTGAGGAAGACAGGCTCTGAGCTAACATCTGTTGCCAATACTCCTTTTTTTTCCCCCAAAGCCCCAGTAGATAGTTGTATGTCATAGTTGCACATCCTGCTAGTTGCTGTATGTGGGACGTGGCCTCAGCATGGCCGGACAAACGATGGGTTGGTGCGTGCCCGGGATCCGAACCCGGGCCGCCAGTAGTGGAGCATGCGTACTTAACCGCTAAGCCACGGGGCGGGCCCGAAAATGCATTTAATACACCTAACTTACCGAACCTCATAGGTTAGCCTGGCCTACCTTAAACATGCTCAGAACATTTACATTAGCCTACAGTTGGGCAAAATCATCTGACACAAAGACTGTTTTATGATAAAGTGGTGAATATCTTATGTAACTGAATAATGTACTGAAAGTGAAAAACAGAATGGTTGTAAGTGTATCGGTTGTTTACCCTTGTGATCCTGTGGCTGACAGGAAGCTGTGGCTTGCTGCCACTGCCCAGCATCGAGAGAGAAAGAGAGAGAGAGAGAGAGACAGACAGACAGACAGACAGAGACAGAGAGAGACAGAGAGGGAACGAGAGGACGAAGAGAGAGAGAGAGGAAAGAGAGTGGGGAGAGAGAGAGAGAGTATCCTACTGCATATCGCTAGCCTGGGAAAAGATCAAAATTCAAAATTTGAAGTACAGTTTCTACTGAATGTGTATTGCTTTCCCATCATCATAAAGTCAAAAAATCATAAGTCAGGGACTGTCTGTATATCCTAGGCAAGATTAAATTTCAAATTGTATATGCATATTTCAAATTCGATTTGTATTTTGTGGTATCTGAAATATTCCCTAGATTAGAAGCAAAATTACAAAAACAAAAACTTCATATTTACAAAATTTTTTCAAGATTTATATGATTAACTTTATTATGATGGTTGCTTATAAAAGTTATTAGACCAGCTGTGTCCAAAAGAACTTTCCTTTATGTTGGTAATGTTCTATAATTTTACATTGTCCAATATGGTAGTCACTAGCCACGTGTAGCTCTTGAGCACTTGAGATGTGGCTAATTAGACAATGGAACTAAATTTTAAATTTTATCTCATTTTAGCTAATTAAAATTTAAATTGAAATAGCCACATGTGGTTAGTGGCTACTGTATTGGATAGCACAGTTTAGAATGCCCTTTAGTTTTAAAAGAAGTGTTTAAAATGGTTCCCATGGTTTGAATCATAATAATATACACATAACTTTTTTAAAACCACATGATAGAGCAAAATAAATTTCATAAAGGTGTTTCATATTTTATTTTAAACTAAATTAGACCTTTTCTGTCTTCAAATTTTCACAGGTTCATTCTGTTATTGTATTAGTCCAATGTTAAACATTTTAAATGCCTGTCCATAAGACTTGTTTTTGATAAATTTATCTTTCATATATTGTTTTGTTTTCCAAACAAATACAATGAATAAACATTAAAATAATTCTTAATACAGGGGCTGGCCTGGTGGGGTAGTGGTTAAGTTCGCGCACTCCACTTCAGCAGCCTGGGGTTCGCAGGTTCGAATCCCAGGCATGAGCCTATGCACTGCTTATCTAGCCACGCTGTGGCAGGTATCTCACATATAAAGTAGAGGAAGATGGGCACGGATGTTAGCCCAGGGCCAGTCTTCCTCAGCAAAAAAAGGAGGATTGGCAACAGATGTTAGCTCAGGGCTAATCTTCCTCACCAAAAAAAAAAAAATCTTAATGCAGATGCTTAGGTTGTTTTTTTTTTTTTT